GATAAAGTATGATGTGTTCGCTTTTCTTCATCACATTGTCAATGGCTTAAAACTCAGAAAACAAGCCCTTTTTCATCACATTGCAAATGATTGGAAAATCACGCAAACAAGTGGGAGTAGTAAAACGGTGTATGAAAAAGCTACTTTGTCACATAATATGATTCGCCCAATCACAAAATTGTTCAAATTGATTAAGAAATATTGAGTATCAAACTGAGACAAGCAGTAATAACAAAATATTGAAACCTAATTTGAGTGCAACTAATATTTAAACATAAAATCATTGTTATTTGTAATTTTCAATAACCATACAACTAAATATTATACCACTGCATTGGTGACATAAACACATGTACTGTGACTGAACATATTTATATATTATTTTTTGTAAACCAGGGTTAAATAGAAAATAATGTACTGTTATGGTTTTCCGACGTCACTATCATTCGAAAATTGGCTTGAAATATATATTATGAAAACAAAATAACGTGATTGACACAATGATATGAGAACAGTTTTTGTAAAACAGAAAAATAATTCAGTTTTCAAAAGAACAAACAAAAACAAAAAGTAAATCGATTAACTGTCAGTGCTCGTTTATGCGAACGCTCATGCATGTATACTACTGGGGTTTGCGCAGACGCTGCCCTTGTGGCGCATGCAAATACGCGTCACAATCTGTGCAACTTTTCACGGTATACCACAGCAGGCGATGGTTTACTGCCTTAGTTAATAACATTGCAATATCATCTACTTATTAGCTGGAATACATTATTAGCTATAAAATTCGTCTGTTTTCCTGATAGGTTTGTCACCCGCACCCTTGTCCCTAATTATATTCCGTTTGATAAACACAGTTGGGCTAGATCTCCAAGTGATATGTTAGCGTCCGTGCGCCTTCTTTTTTTCTTCATTCTCGAAGTCTAATCATAAAATTAATCGCACATTCTTTTACCAATCAATAAAGATTTTTCATCCGTAGCCGAATACTTCGAAAGTAATTACCAAAAAGCTATTTTTTTCGGATAAGATAGGTGCATGTAGTGCGTTTAAATGATCTGGGTGTATTTAACACTTATTGCTTCCTGGGTACTTTGTCTCCTTAGGCCGTCCATTAGATTAATTGGACATCCACACCAAAATAATAATGAATAAGTAAATTGCTACATCTTTCGTCACACAGATAACTAAAAAGTGTAACTTGTAACTTTGCTATTGTCCTAACAGCAATATATGTCACATATCGGCAAGTATTATTTCTACATTCAAAAGAAGAGATAGCTATGGAATTGTATATTAATTGGAAGGTCTTTTAATTGATCTGAGACGCTCTCTAGTAAATATCGACTGTAGTGTATGATGAATCAAGACATACTAACAAAGGACAATAACAATAGTAGAAGCCCAAAATAAAAAAAAGAGTAAGTAATATCTGTCCAGTCATATTTATCTCATCTGTCTGTCTGTATGTTTGTTCTTTTTCATTCTATTCCGTTCTTTATTCGCTGGTCGTAGAATTTAAAATAACAAACCAGTTACTTTACATATATGATTTGGTGAAATAATAGTTTATAAAATATTACTAAACGGTTGTGCTCAGCACAGTTACAGTAAATTTACAGTAGTATTCACTCAACACTTTGTCGGTCTTTATCTGATGTTTACAAAACTAAGTTATTTTGTAGCTCCCGGGGGTACCGCCCATTGCAAATAGAACCAGACAGCTGTATACGCAATAAAGAGATACAATTTGTCCACGTCATAGCTTAACGGTAATGAAGAATCGATTCGAATGTACGATACATGCCGATTGATTTGAATGCCCCTTAACTTAATGGAAGTTCGATGAATAGTTATGCTGCCATAACACACCAATATCAGCATATGAAGTTGTTTGAAAAAAAACATCTCAGATCTCTATTTTTTGTTAAACTACCCGACGCAACAAAAAAGCAGGATTTACGAAGATAAAAAATCTACTGAAACGACTGTTAAATCTTGAAATTGATCACGGGTCAACAAAATATCTATAATACGCGTAATAATCCACCGATTTCACGGCAGGTAACCACCAGCTTCAAAGCACCCGATGAAATCCACCTTTTCACACACTACAATATTACAAAACGCTATATATTATATATATTTGTCAGGTTTTGGGACAAAGGTTATCAATCAGAAGATTTCAACTAAATGGGAATCATACATCTTCATTTTTGTATAACATCTATCGATCGTCGGAGCCACGTTTAGTAATTAAAAGTGTAAATCACATTGACATTGATAGATGATTGCGTTGAAATGTATACTGTATAGGGGTAATTTTTAGCTGGATATTATTTTCGCTTATTTTGCTGAAGATAAGTTGGTTAAATCAAAACGAATATGCACTGTTAATAGTACAATGCTTTTTGAATATTTCTTCAGATAAAATATACAGGTGCAAAAATCCTCTGGATTATATCAATTTATTCTTCTTTGTTTTGAGAAACAATGTCTCAAAGCATTGATCGTTTTACTGGGCGTGGAATCACTTATACTAATCGACATCGCAAAAGCTATTTTTGCGATATAGTGGGTGTGACTAAAACATTATTAAAAAATAGCTGCAGTATTTGCATAAATTATTATTTCTCATTTTAGTAGTCAGTATATAATCGTAAATAAATGTAAAAGGAAAGCAGATTTTTTTTCCTCTAATTTATGTTATTACGAGATATATTGAAAATGCATGACATGATGCAGCGCAGGTAATTCACGTGGTAAGCAATAAAGTAAACCTTGCCTCCCTGGTTTTAGATTAATGGGTCTTGCATTATTACATATTACATTAATTCGGGTTGCCTCAGTAATCTCCAGTTCCGATATGTTGTCATCAATGGTGGAAACTGCATGAAACCTAGCATCACAGCATGAATTCATGTTAGTCGTATACTGAGATTTGACAACTGCGCCACAATTACACAGAACCCACGGTGAATGATACGTTCAATTACATTGATTGCATTGTCAAAGTTCACATCACAGAAATTCGAATCATGAGAATCTACACCAGTAAGCATTTACATAATAAATTTTCGTCATTGCTCTAAGGTTTCATGTCGGGGCAACTATACCTTACACAGGTCACTGATAATTCGCAATTCACGGTATTGGCATGTAATTTGTTGGAGAACATGAGTAATTTATACTGTGTATAAACTACTGAGATTCCGCGGGGGATTTGTGTCAAGTACAAGTAAGTCCCGAAGGAATTCAATTGCTACAAGGTGTTACAATGTAATACAGTTGGAAAGTGTTACAATAATTACAAAGGGAGTACCATGCAATAAACATGAACTGAACAAAAAGTATAGCGTGGTGTTTAAAGTATAGCATGAAGTTAATTGTTTTTGTATGAGTCATATATAATTCTTTATATATGCATTATGTAACAGATTATGTATTTGTAATTTAACTTAATTGTGAATACACTGATGTTTACGTGTATTACGTCCATACCGATTCTGAAAATAAATTATTCTGATCAAGTGGAATGCACATACTTCATTCCATGTGTGATTTCATTTAATGAATCCAAAACAAATCACAAAGTTCATTTATTATTAAGAGAATGTAATGACACTTTATGAATGGAAATATGTTGTTCTCTGATAACAAAAAAACACTGCACTGACGTATCACTATCATCACGTGACGTGTTTCGAGTATAAATTCATATCAGATACACTGTGTAACGGCTAGTGTTTCGTACGCCTCTGACCATGTATGTCGATAACAGCACAAAGAACGATTCCCTTCCGATGCCAAATGAAACTGCATGGTATTATGATATACCATTGGAATTGCCGATGAGTCAACAGATTATACTCGTTTCGGCGTTTACGTTGAACATGGTCCTTTCTATTGTGGGAAATAGTGCAGTAGTATGCGTGTTGATGAGTGGTCACAGTAATCGCACTGAGCTAACGTCGTATCTCATTAACTTGGCTATTGCTGACTTGACGATGGCTGTTTTCTGTATGCCGTTCACTTTCCCGACTATCATGCTCGGGCACTGGATATTTGGAGCTGCAATGTGTCATATTGTAATCTTTCTTCAACATGTGAGTCTTGAATATTACTATATAATACAATATTCGTGTTACTGTAAACATTTTCATAATTGAAATAGCCATGCGTGTATGTTTGTTACATATGCGGTGTTTATGAGCTATGTTTCTTGCTTCGCGTGTTGTGCTAGAGCGCACCATAACTACTACACATCATTCGAAAGCATGTTACATGGACATGAAGAGCAAATTAATTGTAAAAGTTATTTTTGTTATAATTGCAAATAACTGCGAATGTAATCGTTAGAAAAATTCCCCTAGCTTCGAACAAGTTTCCGAAATTGATATCTTTTCTCGAAGTTCTCAGAGAAGTTCACGCTAATGATGTAGATTCAATTCCCACGTTACAATGCAATAGTCAATATCTACTGATGTTGATCTCAGTCCCGCGATCGTTTACTTAAACCAATAAGTTAATTGATCCACTCTTGCGATGGAGCAAATATACTCCATTCTGTGCATGTACTATATAGCGTTACACACAACACTGATCAATCGATATTTGTTACTTTTAACTGGGAAATCACTTGACCGACCTATAAGATAAAGAATGATGATAATTCGTTGTCCAGTAGCATTCATGTATTTATGATTAGTTTATTTTTTACCGATATTCGAGCTTATTTTATACTGTCTCAACAAATATTAGTGGTTATGCTTAAAATCTACACATTTCAATGAATAATAGGCCTCGTCTGAAAAAAAAAGTTTTTATTAATAACGTTTTCCGTTTAAAGTAAAAAATGTTAGTAATGAAAACTGTTCCGGAGATTGGGTGGCAAAATGTGGTTAAACAAGGTGATTAAAGCAAAGATACTGGTAGTCTTTTCTTTAATGTAACGTCCCGGATGGGATTTAGAATGTTCGACCTGAAAGACTTTGTTTCTATATTCCAAAACAATTGACATCACACACGAGTCAGAGAATAGTATCCCCATATTCGTATTGAATCGTTTTGCCAGTTGTGCCACACACTGTCATCACTTGGTTTAGAGAATTATACATGTACATGATTAAAAAACGCGACTGTTTCAATACATGGTCAAATTATCCACGGCAAGCAGATCGTAATGCGAAATCTCAATTCTTTTTTTCAACACAAAACTCACACATTCTGCTTCGTATTACACAATGTAATATCACTATGAATGGTACATGTACCGTAGTTGAACTTTGTTGGTATCAATATATTTAGTTGGTTGTACATAATTTTGGCAGCAGCTGTTTTTTTTCAGTTTATACTACTCGAACATTGTAAATATTATTTGAAATGTATTTTAATCATCAAAAAACA